CATACATGCACACACTCATGCAAGCACGCGCGCATGCACGCACACTCATGCAAGCACGCGCGCATGCACGCACACACGCATGCATGCACACACTCATGCACGCACACACTCATGCAAGCACGCGCGCATGCACGCGCGCAGGCCGGTGCTTGACCCGTCGCATCTCTCTGCACCTCCGCCGCAGGTCGTTGTGGAGAGCGAACGCATCCCGGTCTACACGCCGCCCGACAGATGGAGGTGCCACCTGCTGGAGACGTTTCCAAAAGAGAAGGCGGCGATCAACGAGTTTTTCCGTCTGCTGAACGTACGTGAACCTCTCTCTCCGCTCGCCGATAACTCGCTCGATTCTACGACGTCAACGCTTGCCGTCCTCGGAAGGGGAGGGTTCGAAATCCCCACCTTACCGCTACTTGAGAGCATAGTACATTTTCGATTTGGGGGGTCTAGTCTTGAACATTGGTAATCAGACCGGTTTGTGCCAGATCTGGAATGTGGTTAATACAGCGAGTGTCTAGAACTGTTTAATGCGTGCGTCTGCGTCTGCTATTTGTTTAAAAACTATGCTGGCGAGTAGATTTTCAGGATGGCTATACGCTCATCTTATCAGATAACTAGTGCGACTGGCTGGTGAAAAAATAATACGAACTTTTAACCTTGTCATTTCACTCAATCAATGATGTTGTTCCTGTCTGTTTGGGACGTTGCTGAAACATGGTTTGCACAGTTCTTGAATTTGAGGGGAGTCCTTGAAAAGTACTTAAATTTAGTAAATGTTGATTTTGTGCTTGAAAAGTCCTTGAATTTCATGAAAATGTCCTTGAATTTAGTAAATGTTGATTTTGTGCTTGAAAAGTCCTTGAATTTCATGAAAATGTCCTTGAATTCTTAGAAAGAATTCTTGCCTGTAATAAAAAGAAATTTTGTACCATCAATAATGTGCAAACCTCAATAAAAATTGTGTTAAATGAGCTTAAAAAGCTATAGACACGATAGACAGTTAAATGATGATCACAAATTAGTAATTACAGTAAGTCAGTAAAATCAGTCAGTAAATCAAGGTATGTTGTAGAAGTGACAGGGTTTAGAAGGTTTTATTAATGTGATCCAGGTAAGTTTTAGAGGTGACAGTGATTAAGAATTGGGTTATTATTAAATTAATCCAGGTATGTTTTGTTCTGTGTATTAATTCCGATAAAATGTCCTTGAATTTCCGATGAAAAGTCTTCCTGTATGAACCATGTGAAAAAGGATTTTTTCAGCGGTTATCCGCCGGTATTTAGATGTGCTGTTCTTTCTTCTAGTTGTTGGCGGGACAATCGTACGGCTTTGCCTTGATCAAGTACACGCCAAGATACGTGGCGGAATTTCTCATCAGGTGGGGCATCATCAGGTGGCTGACCAGGTAGGGGCGTTCGTTATTTCACATAGAGTTGATCGACCTGAGAGTTAGAGAGAGAGAGATAGAGAGAGAGAGAGAGAGAGAGAGAGAGAGAGAGAGAGAGAGA